CACCTGTGTCCTTGCAGGCAGAGCCTGGGTGTGTTCACACCTGTGTCCTTGCAGGCAGAGCCTGGGTGTGTTCACACCTGTGTCCTTGCAGGCAGGGCCTGGCTGTGTTCACACCTGTGTCCTCGCGGGCAGAGCCTGGCTGTGTTCACACCTTGTCCTCGCAGGCAGAGCCTGGGTGTGTTCACACCTGTGTCCTCGCAGGCCTGAGTTTTACGTGTGGAGAAGGTGTTGGATTTGGTAATGCAATTTGACAAGTGTTTTTGTTCTTTTAATCGGCAGAGGATCCATGGCTGGGACCAACTCGCCTGGTTGTGCCATCTCAGGAGCACACGGGCCTGGGATGGCATGTGGGACGTGGAGTTACAAGAGATGAGTGAGGGCTCCGAGAAGAGTCCAGGCGACAGGCGGACAGATGGCCCCCCTGTCCCTGGAGGGACTTCCCCAAGCAGTGTCTTCCTGGTGTTCTGTCCTGTCATCCCGGAAGCTGGGAGGACAGGAGTGGGCCCCCAGGCCAGGCCACTGCCCCTTTTCTTTAAGAAGGATGTCACCACACAGCGGCACGCTGTGGCTCAGCCATGCTGACACCTTCAGATCGACATCACTCGTGGGTCTGAATGTTCATCCTCTTGGTTTCGGAATGTCAAACACAGTATTTTCCTTTTGTGGTTCCCAGTGTGGAAATCACCTGTCATTTCTTCCCGTCTATGTCCCCTGAGCGCCTCCTGGGAACCCCAGGCCTCCGTGTTAGGACCAAGTGGCGCGATGTTGTCTGCGGCCACTGGGGTTGGTTCACCATGGGCACAGGACTCAGGCCAGTGGGAGAGGGAAATGGGCGGGCGTCCTTCTGCTCAGGCACTGGGCTGGGGGCCGAGTTGGGAGCTGCCGAGGCTGTTTCCCAGGTCAGGAATGTGCCTCCTGGGGTCGGAGCCGACACAGACAAGGCCAAGTCAGGGAGCAGAGAAGAGCCCTGGACTGACCCTTGAGGCCCGAGAACTTCACAGCTACTGGGGCCAGCACAGTCCTTCTCCTCTTAGATGCTGTGGACTTGGTCTCTACGTCATAAAACACAGGGACTGATTAATATCCCTGGTACCGGGAGCTTCAGACAACCACATGACGATGACGACAACAACAATGTCATCAATGGGAATTAAGCCACGATCGTCAGGACCCACAAATAAAAGGACATACGCGACCACCGCGGTGATCAGATGTTAAAATGGGGAACCGACCCACGTTCAAGCTTCCCAAGCTCATGCAGAAGAACTGGGGGAGGATGAGCCTGAGGGCTGCGGTGGAAGGAGCAGTGGAGCGTGGGGCTTTGGGTCCGTGGTCTGGGTGCAGACGGTTTCCCGGGTCGGTTTCGGTGGCTGAGGCCCTGCCGGCAGCCTGCAGGTGCAGTGGGTGCCGGAGGACCTGCCGGGCCCCGGCCAGGCAAGACTCGGCACGTGTGTTGGTGACTCTGTTTTGAGACATAGTTCCCTGGGCAGGGTGAGCACCCTGGCCTTCCGGGGCCCGCCTGCCTTCTTGCTGTCTGTGTGTCTTACCTATAATCACTTCACTAAATATTGAACGGAAAAATGGCCTTTGCCCAATACGGGTAGTGCACACAGGACCCCCAAGTGGCCTAAGGAGTCAGTGTGGGCAAGCAGAGCCTCTGATGCTCCCTGGTCCCCACCAGAGGACATGGCTTTCTCCCTCGTCCTTATCACCCCCGTGCTTTTCTCCACATTGACCAGTGGAGCGACCTGGGCTTGGGTGTTCAGGGACCCTACTGTGCCAACACTCCTGTGTCCACAGTGCTGCGGGTGTTGGCCTGACGTCTGTCCTTGCTCTCCATTGTGTCCCCAAGACCCACTCTGTTGGCCTGGTAGCTCCAGGTCCTTCGGGTTCCTGGGTGCATAGCTTTCCGCGGTACAAGGGGAGCAGGGATGGGTCTGCGCTCCCCAGTGTGGGGCAGGTGGTGGAGGAAACTGCTCACCGCAGGGCAGACAGAAAGCCAAGAGCAAGACAGGAAGAGGCAGGGGTCCTGATCCCCCCTGGACACGCCCTGTGACCTCACTTCCTCCCACTAGGCTCCACCCCTCTTAGAGGTCAAACCATTGACCCACGGTGTCCGCCCAATGGTGTCACAGGCCACTGACCACACCTTTAGCACCTGGGCCTTTAGGGGACACTGATCCAAACCGTACCAGAGGATTTGTAAATCCTGGACATTCATCCTGGTGACTAGTTCTAACAGGATTGACCTGATGGAGGTTTCTGTGGTCAGACAGGAGAGAGCCAGGGGCAGGGACGGGGGAATAGGGGCCAGAGGAGGGGCCGAGAGGGCAGGAGTGGAGGGCTGCAGGGAGGACTGGGCCTCCGCTCTGAGTCAGTGGGTAACCAGGTCTGTGGCCCCATGTTCCCTGCAAGAAGCTGGGAAATGTCCCCTCCCTGTGTGCCCAGGAGGAGGAGATGGCTTGGCGGGCAGGAGTTAGCTCTTCGGTGACCAGGGAGATGGGCGGCTACGGGCTCACCTCGCGCACTGCATCTGCTGAGCAGGTCCAGGTCTGGGTTAGGGACGTGGCCGTGAGGCAGAGAGCCCCCAGGGACTTGCAGCCTGGGGGAGAGACGGTGAACTGCCCAACTCCGCAGAGGCTTGCTGTCGTGTTGAGTTTGGATCAGCTGCGGGCAGTGAAGGACGGTGGCCAGGGAAAAGCCCCCGGAGGTGCCCACCCTGCCTGCCTCTCCTCACAGTGACGTCCAGAGCTGCTGTTTGGGGAGCATCTGTCCCTGCACAGTGTCCCGAGGCTCTGACCCACCGGCTCCACAGGAAGTAAAGCCGTTCCCGCGTCGTGTGAGCACGTGGGTGGACGCGTGAGGGCTGGGGGTCTGATTCTCTGCAGCTGTCGGGACAAATTTTGGCCACGTTGACCAGGAGAAGGTTCCAGGGAACTTGCCTTGTCCTGAGGACAGCACAGGTCACTTCCTCGCTGGGCCTCAGTGTCCCCATTGGTAAAATGAAAGGTGGATCTAAATCATAGGACCCCTGAGGGGACCGGTACTGTGACTCTGTGATGTGCGTCTTGAAAAGTCCCAAGGGGATGTGGGTACACTTCTGCCACTCCAGCCCAGGGGTGGGCCACCCTGAGGACTCTACCTGGGAGCAGGTGTGGTCCTTGGAGTCCCAAGAACCTACTTCTTCCTTCATCTTGCTCCACGGGCTGATGTGATTGGGCCCTGCCCACCTCCCCACCCCCTCTCCCCGACCCCTTTCCGCAGATGGCATCACAGCGGCCGTGAGCCTGGCAGCGGTCATGCGGTGGGGGCTCACACTACATACCACCCCACCCCTTGAGTGAGTCATTGGAGTATTGCTTTTCCAGAAGGCAATCTGGCGATTCTTAGTCACTCCCCAATAAAAACGCAGAACTCTTGGTCCCAAATTCTATTTATGGGATTCTATCCCAGGGAAACAGGAAAATACGTAAAGGGGACTGTGGGTTTGGGGAGAGCAACGGAGTAGCCAGTCTCGGTGCCTGTTGGTGGTCCTCTGCCTGGCCCCGGCAGCTGGGCAGCCTCCCGCACACCAGGGTCACTGTGGTCATGTGACCAGGTTCTGGCCGGGGGCAGGGAAGGTGTTTTGGGAACCCTCTATCATGGCTCCCTGGCGTCTGTCTCTTTCCTCGTCGCCCTCCCACCTGCTCCCCCGGCTTCCTGTGGCGGTCAGAGGTCTTCCTCCATCTGGACCCTGAGGACTGTTCATGCCCCAGGGTGGCAGAGCGCCCGCTAAAGGAGGCCAGAGTCCCCGGCCCTCATCAGGCCGACAACCGCCCGTCTTGTTTCTGTGAGAGACAAGCTCCTGCTTTGGGAACAGGGTTCCTCGTGGGTGGCACAGAAAGCTTGACCTGATGAAATGCAAGAAGTTCATTCAGTTCCTCATGGGACGCCACCGAGGCCCACGCTGGACACTGTGGTCCGTAGTGATCGAGGTGGAGACGTGGATGTAAAATACTGTTCACTGGACACAGGACACTGCTCCCGTTTTGCTAAAGCAGAGAATGTGTCCATGTGCGTGTGTCTGTGGGGCCCATAGGATGTGTCTGCACAGAGACTAAACAGGACACCGCACGTCAGACCGTGGGTGCTGCTTTGGCCATTGGGATCCACAGTGACTTAAAAGTCCACCTTTTAATCTTCCATCCATTTTTGGAAGTTCTCTGCCTCAGTATGTGTGGCTCTTATTAAGGAAAAAAACACGACAGAAAACAGGGACCTGCCCTGCTCACATCCACACGACGGGAACCTGGAGAGACGTGAGGTCCCTTTGCAGGTGACAGCTCTGTCCACAAAGTGTGGCCCTGCAGAAGGGCCCTGCCAGCCACCGTGCCTCCCCTTTCCAGTCCCTGTACCTGCCACAAGGTCACCTGGATGCCAGCGCCTTCACAGCGTGGGACCTGGGGGAAAAACTCGAGTGTGGTCTCCAGGGCCTCCTGGGGGACTGGGATGGCTCCGTCTCTTTGGTACCCAGTGAGTGTATTTGGAAGCCCAAGACGCACACAGACATCAGGCTGTTTACAAGTTCTCTGCAGGGGCTGGCCCCAGGCTGGAGCACACGGGACAGAGCTCTGGGCGCTCACAGATTTAAAACACCCGATTCAGGTCCCAGAAAACACCATCGTCTTACTTTAAAGCCAAACTTCAAATAATGATCTGGCACTAAATTCTTTGATTCTGTGAAATTTTGGGATTCTGGGCGAGACTGAAATCCTGAGCAGGACCGAGGACAGCAAAGCTCTAGGACAGACGTCTGGACCTGTGTGGTGACCTGTGTGATGAAGGACGATGGTGGGCAGCCGGCCGAGCACGCACACGAGGCTGTCCTCCCGGGAGCTGTCTGAGGAGGTGATGGTGACATGTCTGTCTGGTGGGTTCCCAGGAGGGGAGGGAGCAGCTGGGAGGCCCCAGGTCCCCATCTCTGAGCATCACTCACTGGGGGAGGGTGGGGGAGGTGGACAGATGGTGGCTGGCTCCGTCTCTGAGCCAGGGTTCCAGAATCAGTCCTGAGGGCCTGCTCCATGCCAGGTACTGGGCCCGGGACTCATCCGGGTGCTGGGCAGACACAATCCTGCCCAGAGGAGCTCAGTGCCCACAGAGCCGAGGCACAGGGGCGGCATGAACTGAGAATGAAGGAGACACTTGCAGGCGGAGGTCAGCGTCCTGGAGCTAGTGAAGAGCGCGTGTCCTTGTGACGCTGGTGGGGGCTGCTGACGGAGGGCCACGATCCAGCTGAGGCCTAAGGGATTGGAGGGAATGGGCTGGAAGGAGCCCTGGGCCTGAGCTCATCCCACAGACTCGTACATGAATTTAACTGGGATTAGTTGCCAATATCTGTATTCTAACCGTGGTTTTCCAGTTTCTTGGAAAATCAGAACATCTGGCTCTGCCGGGCCCCGATTCCGGTGGATTTCAGGTTCTAGCAGGGAGCACGTGGGTGGTTTGGCTCCCCAGCCTCGGTCCCAGTGTGGAGTCCCGGGACCCAGGACGCTGGGCTCCGTGGTAGGACCCCTCGGCCCGCCTCCCTGATCATCTGGCTGCCAAGACCCCCACAGTGAGACTGGCAGAAGCGAAGTCAGGTGAAATCGGGCTGTGAACGTGTTTATCAGAAACCACACGTGCAGCCGGAAGACTGTCGCCATGGCAGCTTGGAAGTGACAGATTGGGGCATCGTCTGCCAAGAGATGAGCAAGAGGAGGGCCGGCAGAGGGTAGGTGCCTCCAGCAGCAGGAGCTCCGTCCCTGGGGAGAAGTGGCCTGGGGGAGGGATGCATTCCCGGGAGTCCCCACCGCACAGAGCGGGGAGCCGCCTGGTCCTGCAGGAGCAGGGGCTCTGGGCCAGGAGTCTGGATGCTGCGACGTTCAGATCCCTCTGTGAGACTGGTCCTCTGCTCTCTCTGCTGAAGGCAGCCGGAGGGCGAGGCCGCAGACAGATCTGGTGTCCAAACCCCAACAACAGACTGAGGTGCGCAGACAGCAAGAGCCGGGCTTCTTACTGAGGGTCTCGTGAGATCGGGCGCGGGGCAGCAGGTGCACCCAGCGCACTTCCCATCAGCACTTTCCTCCCCAGTGTGCAGGGCCCCCGGGCTCCTCATTGGCTGAGTGCTATGGGGGTACCTGCTCTCCCGCTGGAAGGGGCCCCTTGGTGGCCCCCTCCCTCTGTCCTCTGTGGCGGGAGGACCCTCCCGTGTGGAGTGCATCCTGCAGTTTATGGCTGTGGGTCTGTGGCCCCTTCCTCCCACCTGCCCCTTGTTGAGGGGCTGTGAGTGGATCGCATTCTGGTGCTAACTCTTTAACTCCCCTTCCTCTGCCCCTCCAGCTGCCTTCCCATAACCCAGTAGTTTTACACTCAGGCCGACGCTGTGTTCTGGAACGGACCATCGGACTTGGTATTCCTCACAGCGTGAGGTCCACTCCCCACCAGCCCGGCCTCTCGTAGTCTCAGTGTCCTGTCTGTACAGTGAGACTAATAGCCACGACCCTATTGGCTGCCTGCTCTGCCAGTCTCTTGCAGAATCTCTCTGATTCCTGGGGGGCGGGAACTGTATCATCCTCATTATTAGCTGAGAAAACAGGCACAGAGAGGTGAAGTCACTCAGCTGGGGTCACAGAGCTGTTGTCTGTGGAGCCTTCGCCCAGGGCAGGCAGGTGGCAGTGCCTCAGGGGTGTCGGGTGCCATGGATATTCGTCACTCCTGTGGTAACAGACTGGTACGTTAGCTAGACCACAGGAGCCTAGAGTGAGGGGACAGGAGAGTGTCCTGGCTGGGTAGCTTGACGTGACAACCACGAGGAAAAGGAACTCCCAGGTGGGCCGACAGTGGCCTCCGCCTGGTTCTCTGGGCCAGGGAGTGGCCCTGAGCTCCGGAGACCTTGCTCCAGTTGGAGGAGCGGTCTGAGGTCCTTGGGAAGGGGCCATGGTGCCCGGTCCACAGCCTGCTCTGCCCAGCAGGCCCTGCCTCCCCCAGCTGTTCTCAGGGATCTGTCCCCTGGAGGGCTCAGGAAGCACTGGCTGTGGCCTCAGGCCAGCGTCCTGCCTCTGGTCTGTGCTCAGGGCCAGGGCTGGCCACTGTCTCACACTGGGGTCAGGCCCTGAGGGTCTCACGGGCACAGGCCTCCTCTGCCCACCTGTGGGAAGAGGGGGCTCCCTGCTGTAGGGTAAATGGCACCTGGGACACTCGTCCTGACCACAGGAGGGTCTTAGCACAGAGGGTGGAATGGCGGCCGGCGTGTGTGGTGGGCCTGAAATCAACCTGGAGGGCCGCGCAGCACGTGAATGTCCACAGCCCAGAATGGACTCAGGGAAACGGCAGAGCGTCCCATGCAGGGAGACGGTTCCGCTGCGGTGTAAACAGGTGTGTGTGTGTGCACGTGTGTGCGGGTGGAAGGGCGAGTGTGTGTGTGTGTGTGTGTGTGTGTGTGTGTTTTAAAGTGTTTGGGGATATTTCTCGTGGTCTGAGTGTCCCTTGGAGTCTCCCAGGGCCCAGCGGGTCTGGCTCTGGTGGCCAGGGGAGGAGCGTCAGCCTGGAAGAGCAAGGGGAGAGCAGATGGAGCGGGCAGGTTCCACGGGCAGTGCCTGCCCTGTTTTCCTCTCTGGCTCTCCAGCTCTGGCCCCTCACGGTCACTCCCTCTTTATCCCAGGTCTCCACTGGGTGTCCCCATCTGGATCACCTCTGTGAAGTGTGGGTCCTCCGTGTCTCTTCTGCAGGCCCCACTGGGCTGTCCCCTCCCCGAGGGCAGGAGCCCTCTCCATCCCTGCTGAGTCCTGGGGAGCAGTGCACGGGCCAGGCCCCCAGGGCTGAGGTGCTCCGCCTCAGCCAGGGAAGAGGCCCAGGCCTTGGAGGGGAAGGTCCAGTTCCTGCAGGCGGAGACGGGTCTGCAGCGTGGGTGTGTGAGCTGGGAGCTGCCCGAGGTGGAGGCTGCAAGCTGCAGGCCCCGTTGTGAGGTGACCATGCCTGGCCCTGCCCTTGCCCTGCACCTGCTGCTGGACTTCTGCTGCTAGTGCCCTCGTGGAAGCTGCCCGCTCCGTCCTGCTCTCCCCCTTGCTCTTCCAGGCTGGATGCTCTCCTCCCCCAACCAGCAGAGCCAGGCCCGCTGGGCCCTGGGAGATTCCACTCCAAGGGACACTCAGGCTGTAAGGGACACTCCCAGACATTCGGTGCAGCCCAGGGCTTACCCTGCTAAAAGGGTCAGGGCTGCAGAGCCTGGAGACCAGAGGCTGGGGACGAAGGCCCCCAGAAGCCCCAGTAGTGCCTAACAGAGTTGGGGGTCAACACCAGCCCTGGCCTGGGGTGGGGGCATCTGAGGTGTGGCTCTGTGCTGCAGAGGCCCTGCACATGAGTGCCTTGGCCCCGTTGGTGACCCTCCCTTCCAAGACCCTCAAGCCACCTCCTGCACTGCCTGGGGCCAGGCTGTTCCCTGGGAAGCAGGCACAGCACCTCACCCTCCCACCCAGCCTGACTGGTGTCATCTGTGGTGACCTCCAGATGCAGTGCTTGACCCCAAACTCCTGCCTCAGGGTCTGCTTTGGGGGAACCAAAACAAGGACAGAGCAGAGGGCTTGAAAGTGACTTGTTTTCAGATTCTGTGTGTATGACGTATGCATGTGTGTACAGGTGTACAGATGGCTGGCTGGAAGGATGGATGGTGGATGTGCAGGTGGATGGATGGAAGGATGGCGGGTGGATGTGCAGGTGGATGGGTGGAAGGATGGACGGGTGGATGTGCAGGTGGATGGGTGGAAGGATGGCGGGTGGATGTGCAGGTGGATGGCTGGAAGGATGGATGGTGGATGTGCAGGTGGATGGCTGGAAGGATGGATGGTGGATGTGCAGGTGGATGGGTGGAAGGATGGATGGATGGATGGATGGATGTGCAGATGGATGGATGTGCAGGTGGATGGGTGGATGGAGGGATGTAAGTGTGTCCCCCGAGTTGGGTTAGATTGGCGAGACTGGGAAACGGGCACAAACCAACGTCAAGAGTTGCCCTGGTGACGCTGCAGGGATGGTTCTCCCATCCCGTAGTCTCTGAGGAGGGGGAAGGGAACTGACCTGTAGGACAAGGTGAAGGGTGGAGGAGACGGGGGAGACCCAGGAGAGGCCGAGGCCAGCAGAGGAAGGCACAAGGTGCTAGTGGCGGGGTCACAGGAGAAGCTCCCCTGCTGAGCCAGGAGCCGCCAGACCCAGGAGCACCCGCTGGGTGCCAGCTCCTGCTGGAACGTGGACATGCCTAAGATCCTGGGGACACGCAGCTTTCACTCCAAACACATCAAGCCTGAACATGCATGTGCAAGCTCACACACATGCACACTTGTAACCACACACCACACACATGCACACCCACACACATGTGCACACTCATAACCCACATGCCACCCACACACGCACACCTCTACACATGCACTCATGCATGCACACACTCATATGCTCATGCATACTTGAATACGCTCACACTCATGCACCAATTCACATCCATTCTTGCCCACTTACACACACTCACACACATGTACACATGCATGAACACCTCACACATATACAGAGGCTCACACCCACACATGCTCACACACACACACACACACGCACACACACACACACACCCAGGCATACCCTCCCTCGCACTCCCCACACTCCGGTGGAGAAGCTGGCGTCATTAAGATGCCAGTCCATGCCTGAGCCTCCTCCCAGAGCCCCCTGGGACCTGCCTGTCAGAGGGGCCTCTAGGGCTGGGGTGACCCTCATGGCCACTCACTCGCTCTCCATGGCAACAGCCTGACACCTGTGTCAGGTTAAAAGCCTCCACTGACGCGATAGCTCATGTCAGTCCCGCGGCTCAGCTGCTTCACGGATCGGCTGCCTTGTCATGTGCGGCGCGGGCTCCCGGTGGCCCCTCTGCCTACGCGTGTGCGGGGAGAGTCAGGAACCGCCAGGGCGAGGCTGGGTGGACAGAGAGAGGCCACACCAGTGCTCGTGGCCACGCTGCAGATGCTGTCAGGACAGCCCACGTGGAACGTGAGTCCTCAGACGCTTCGTGCTGGTGACTTCTGCAGCGTCCCCCGGTGGAACGGGGAGGAAGGAGAGGGAACCACCTGCCCTCCCAGCCCTGCCATCGGGGATGGGAGGAGGGTCCAGCCTGGGGTCTCCATGTCGGGTGACCACCAGGGTGGGGACTGTGACAAAGGGAGGGAGCCCGTCTCCAGGGCAGCGGGGACGTGGCTGTGCCCCTCGCTGCTCAGGGGTCGAGGCCCAGTGCCCACCTGCCGAGGCCTCCAGAGAGCCAGGCAGCGGCTCTCCAGCGAGGCTTCGCGTCCCGTGGTGACGCTGGAGTCACGTTTCCCGAAACCCAAGAGGGACAAGCAGGCACCTGTCAGCTGACTTGGGCGGTGACTCCGGGTGACCTCTGAGCCGTGGAGAGGAGCTGTCATCCTGGGGGGTCGTGAGTGACGTGGGGGTGTGTGGCAGGGGTGGGGTGACAGGAACGAGGAGGACGTTTCCCTCTGGGACCTGAGACCACCTGGCAGAGCAGACACGTTCCCGCGACCCTGGGCTCACGCCTCTGGCTGCGGAGGTCAGGGAGGTGCCCGTGTCCTCTTCCTGTGGCCAGGTGGGTACAGGAGGTGGGGGTTGTGGTAGGGACAAGAGGGACACAGCCCTGACCTGAGCAGTTACAGCCCCAGAGTGGACCCTGGCGTCCACTTTCCTGGGTTGTCCTGGCTGCTGGACGGTCAGGCAGTGGTGGCCTGCATCTCCACAGGGCCATCGGCTTTCCTGTGCCAAGAGCCCTCCCCTGGCCCCGGCCAGGCCTGACCCCGGCCCTCAGGGGTATGTCTCCCCCTCCCCCAAAGCAAAGCCAGCCCCCAGACCCACTTGGGAAGGACGGTGGCAGTTTGAGGACATTGTCCTCCTCCCTGCAAGTGGGCAGGCAGAGCTGACCCCTCTGAGGCTGGGCTGGGGGCCTACAATGCCTTCTGCCCCACAATGGCCGCCTCTCCTCAAAGTGACCCTTTAAGGAGAACAGGCCAGGGACAGAGACAGTCCAGTCCTCAGCGGACTCTGTCACTTGCAAAGAATGACGGGTGGCAGGCGCCAGATTTTGGCCTCTGTCGCTCCCTGGGGACCAGGCCGCCCCTTCTGTGAGCTGCGGGAGGACACTGGCTGCTGTCCTCTGGCGAGGAGGGGCCTGCTCAGCCACGGCCTCCTGCGGCTCCTGAACCCCGTGGCTCGGCCTGCGGTCTCCGCGGCTCTGCAGACTGTGGGGGCGCAGAGGCCGAGGAGGGTCCCCCACCCTCCCCCTCGAGAATGGCCTCCAGAGGAGCTGGCCGGGCAGCCGGGGCTGGGTCCCCTGGGCTCGGTGTTTCTGTGAGGAACCTCCTGAGGCTGCAGCTCCCCGGGCGTCCCCCACCTGCTGGGTCTCGAGGGCCACTGCTCGTCCAGGGCGCGTGCTTCTGAAGCAGTGGCCGCCTGGTCATCTGGGTCCCCTGCCCCTTCTGGCCTTGTTGAAGGAGGTCACGGCCAGCACCCTCTTGTGTGTCACCAGGGGACCCGGTGTCAGGCACGACAGGACCCCATCTCCTGCAGCATCAGGACGTGGCCACAGGCCATGTCCCTGCCTCTGTGACCCCAGGCTCAGTGTCTGAGGCTTGCAGGGGACACTGAGACAGGACCCCAGGTGTGTGGGACAGGACCGAGGGGGTCAGGTGGCGGGGCCCAGCTCATGTCCCTTAGCGGGGAGACAGGGACGGGGACGCCAGCGCTCCCTGGAGGACCCTGAACAGGGACAGGAGATGAGGGAGCCTCCAGCCAGGGCTGCTGAGGGACTCCTGGGTGACATCTGCAGGGGAGGGCAAACCTCCCGTGGTGGCACTGCTTTCTGTCCCCAGCCCCTGCCCTGGGCAACATGGGAGGAACAGCCGCTGAGGACTGGGCCGTCTCTGTCCCTGGCTCACAGCCCCCTGGACCCCTCTCTCCTGCCCCCTGCTCCCTCCCCTGGCCCCGCCCGCAGCCTGCTCCCTGTTCCTGGTTGGAGCGTCTGCTGCGGTGACGGCCCCGGCCTGCTCTCAGGGCTGGTGGCCCTGCAGCCCACCCGTGCTGCCCCCGGGCACTGCCCTGGTCCTGGCAGACAGGAGGGGCTGGGGCTCGGGTTTCCACCTGTCCCTTCCCGTGTCCCCGGGCTCCGGGTCCCCACCTGATGACCCTCATGAGACTGTGCACTCCGGTGACCTCCCACCCCGTGCAGGTGGCTTCAGCCTGGGCCCCCAGGCCTGCCTAGCCCTGCTCAGCTCTGAGGGACATATCCGCAGGGGCCCCACCTGGGCCCAGGGCCTCCGTGCGTCTGTGGCTGTGGGCACACCTGCTGCTCAAGGGGAGGCCCCAGGTGGGGGCCATGGGCACCCTGCTGCTGTGTCTTTGCCTTTTGGAATCCTTTGCAGTGTCTTGGGCTTTCCCACCCAAACAATAGCACGAGACGATGCCGAGTGTGTGCCAGGCACCGTTCTAAGCACATGAACTCATTTCATCGTCACAAGAGCCCTGAGAGATGGGCACTATTATTGTCTTACTCTAGAGTCAGGAAACAGGCACAGAGAGATGGATGAACTCACCCAAGTCGCACAGCTGGTGTGTATCAGGGCTGGAATCGCAAGGCGAGCAGCGTGGCTTCAGATCTGTGCCCTCAACCGCCCGCTGTGGGGGCCTCTTAAATAGTCCCCAGCCTTAGATCTGCATGGTGGCAGGGGTAGGAGGACCTTTTCCCATGTGGCCCTCCCAGATCTGCTCCTCCTCCAGGACACAGGGCGAGTGGTCCCCCCTCAGTCCCAGTGTCCTTGCCGGTCTGCGCACCCATCTCTCCGGCCCTTCAGCCTGCTCAGGTCCTTCCCAGCCGTCTCACTGTCTGGTGTCGTGTCCCAGGTGGCTCTCATTTCTTGCCCGTGGAGTGTCGTATACGAGAGTGAGGCATAGGGACACAGTTGTGTCCCCAAGGCTGGACCTGTGCCTGGCCCAGAGCACGTGCTCCACAAACAGAGTAAGTGCTGCAGCTGCAGGTGCCAGGAGAAGCCACCAAGGTGGCCAGGTCCACCCTGCTCAGGGACAGAGGGACCCAGGGGTGGGGATGGCGTGGTCACAGAGCTGTGCCTGAGACCACGGGACAGCCCACCTAATGGGCACACGTGACGTGGGTGTGCAGGACTCGGGCTGCCACGGAGCCCTTGACCTTGAAAGAGCAAAGCTGTCCATGCCCAAGACTCAGCCTGCTGGCCCCGCCCCATGTGGACACTGCCCATCGGTCAGCGTGGCGCTGAGCCCCTCAGACAGACTGAGGTGGGAGGTGGCAGTGTCACCTGACAGGGGACTGTGTGAGGGGGCGGGGCTGCTCAGGCGGCCAGGGCAGCGCAACCCGCCCCTCCGCTGGCTTCCCCACCTGAGGACCCGGGCATCTCGCGTCCTGCCCCTTAGTCTGGGCAGTGGTGGGCCCCAGGCTGTGGTGGACAAGACCTGGAACAGGGGCTTCCTTGTCACTTCCTGAGTCAGCCTGGGGGCGTCCCAAGGAGGGGACGGCTGAGAGTGCTGGGGACAAGCGTGGGCAGCGCAGCGGGAGGGGAGGTCCCCGGGGAGCAGCCTGGGCAGTTTGCACCCCGCCTCCTGCTGGGGGTCTCCTTCCAAAACCTAATGGCCCTCCCCCTCCCTGTTGCTGTGACTGGGGGCACCTGGAGACAGGCTGGGGTGACACCGCGGGGCCTGAAGGGAGGGTGACCGTGGGCCAGGCTTGTTCCTGGGCGGCAGCTGGAGCTGCAGGACCCTGCTGGGTTGGGCCTGGGCTGGGGGACCCGGGCCTGGTGCTCTGCCCTCCTGGGGTGACCTCAGAGCCTCAGCCCTGCTGTCTCCACTGTCCCCATCTGTATGGGAAGGACGATCCTGCCCCGATGCCCCGGGTGGCTGGGGTCACCCAGATTGAAGGACACAGGGGCACTGATGGGGCGAGGGGCCACTGCAGGCTGCGGACTCTCCCAAGCTCTCTGTCGAGGTTCCAGTTCCCGCCTGTTTCTGGCTGTCACTGCAAAGCCAGTGTCCTTTGTGACAGCGTTGCCCGCCCCCCCCAGGACTCAACCCTGTGCTGCACTCAGATCCCCTGGTTTCACCCCGTGTCCTCTGTGACCTCTGTGGTCCCAGAAACCACATTCCTTAGACGGCGGTTTTCAACACTTCCCTGGGACCCTGCCCGTTATCAGGTCCCTCGGACAGGGACCCTGTGAGGACACTGGGCTTCCTGGAGGGCCCAGGACTGTCCTGTCTCAGGATCCTTCCTGTTATCACATCTGCAAAGCCCCCTTTGTCAGTGCTGTGCAGAACCCCGACCCAGGGGTTTGGACGTGGGTGCCGGGGATTGTGGGGAGGCCGTGCTGCAGCCCACGGTCACGGCCTGGGAGGATGGAGGCTTTGGGAGGGAGGAAGGGAGGCTCCAGGAGGAGCTGCCACTGGAGCAAAGACCTGAAGGGGCTGGCAGTGAGCGTGGGGACCTAGAGCCCTGCAGACAAGGGACAGCAAGCGAGAGGCCCGCAGCAGGGTGTGCCCAGCACAGTGCAGGAAGAATGGGGCGGGGGACGGAAGGACACGATGAGCCAGAGCGGCCACAGGAGCACAAGACCTGGCCACTACGAGACCTGGGTTTCCCTCTGAGTAGGTGGGAGCCACGGAGTGCTCTGGGCAGCAGGGGGCTGGAGCTGACCCAGATTTCTCCAGGCTTCCTTTCTCTGCTGTTTGGGCTGCTGGGGTTAAGAGTTAAGAAGGGAGGCCTCTGGGAAGGTTTTGCAATGGCCCAGGGGAGAGGCCCATGGCTTGCACCAGTGGCCACAAGGTGCTGCTGAAGTCCCCTTCAGGACCCCATACAGCCTCACTGCCAGGAGGGTGGGCTGCTGGGCCAAGCCCCCGGAAGTGCCCCTGGCCAACAGGAGCAGCTTGGCCCGAAGCCACCCTTCCTGAAGACTGGCAAATATGGGGGGAAGAGGGGTGTGAAGATCCAGCCCCTCGAGGCGCGTCCCACAGCCCTGGGCGCCCTGTAGGGTTGAGTGCGAGGTTGCAGGGCCGGGGAACACTGGTATTTGTTTTTTCTATGAGGTCTCTGTTCACATCGACGATTCATTTTTAAAACTGCATTTCCAGTTCCTGGGCCCAGGGGAGCACAGTGATTTATCCGTGGGAGACCAGGACACTGGACAGGCAGGAGGGACTCGCAGAGCTCATTGTCCACCCAGAGCACGGGACGCTTCTCTGGGACGTCTGGGCACCGTCTCTTCTTGGTCAGGCCCACCTTATGCACAAGAAGAAGGGAACCAGTCAAATGCCAAACGGTACGTCCCTGTGTGGAAACCACCCTGATTGTCCGCGTCTGTACCTGTCTGATCGTTTAGTGCCCAGGTATCGACGGGGCACCTGTGGCCACAGCTGCCGTGCTGCCTGCCCAGATCTGGAGCGAATGCCATCCATCTGTTCCCGCAGGTCCTGGCCCTCGGGGTGACAGTGTCCAGGAAAGAGACCGACAGACTCTCTCAGGTGGTGGAAAGGAGACAGATTGGTGGTGGGGACAAGGGCCATGGGGTGCGGCTTCTCTCCCATTTGGGGTGGCCCAGGAGGGTCCCTCTGAGCTGAGTCCTGAAGGAGCAGGAGGTGCTGCCGGGGAAGATCTAGGGGAACAGTGTGCCTGGTGGAGGGAACAGCAATGCCCAGGGCTGGGGATGCAGAGGCCCAGGGAACCAAGGACCAGGGATTGGGCTGGTGCATGTAGGGAGCAGGGCGGTGGTGGGAATACTTTGCAAACTGTCAAGGGGACAGAAACGGAAGGGAACGGCATGGTCAGCCCTGCACACAGGAGACAGGTGAGCCTGCGCCTCACTTCACCTGGGGGGGCGGCCCTAACCTCCTGTCCATCAGCTTCTGCAAGCCCGGGCTCTGCTGGCCGTGACCACGCTCTGTTTACCAGGAGACACAGTAAAAGGAACCACCCAGATCTGCCAAGAGCCTCCGAGACCTTGGGGTCACTTGCTGCCAGACGACATTCCTCCTCCTATTACGGAATGTAGGCGCCATATGGAAATCTGAACCTTTAAACACAGGTAAATAGAGCGTGATTTCTCTATGGAAACGGGACCCCTCGGAAATGCTTAATGCCTCCAGGCGTGTGGGGTGGGGATTCCCACATTCCCTTTGGTTTGCATAATAGGGTGCGCTTCCCAGGGACGCTTTTGCGTGCTCAAGTTCATTTGTAGTCAGTCTCTGAATGTGTGGAGGTGTTTTATGTTGTATATTTATAATTCTTTCCCCGGCCTAATTAAAAAAAAAAGGAGAGGAGAGG